CCCACTTGCCCTCAATTCATCAATTCGATCTATTAATTTTGTATGACATTGATTCCGTTTATCTCTTGATCTGACATTTTTGAACGATGAATCTGAGCAGCGATGTCCTAATTGGGCTGTGAGATATTTGCTTGGATAGCCGTGACTTAATTTTCAGCCTGCTGGCTTCAAAACAACCGAATCCGTAGCAGCTCTGGCCTGTGAATGTTATTACTAACCCAAGTGCAGTTCCAACTAACAGGACTTGTATCAATGTGTCGACGATTATCGCGAGTACTCCTTGACGACATCTCTGTTGTATGCTAACTCGTGCTTTTCGGGTCGTGCAGCATTTAGACTATACTCACAAGAATAAATAGAATAGATTTAGTATGCTGCCGGCTGTGCTTATCCTGTGTTTCGTGCCGATGGCAGCTGCTCTTGGCCGAACCCAGTCCGTTGGTGTCAAAGGAGTACTCATATGTAACGATAAACCAGCGGCCGATGTGGAAGTTAAGCTCTACGACGAGGACAAACGTAAGTTCACCCTTCCAGTAAAGGAGATAGTGGGGGTAAGGTGGAGCAATGGCAACTTGCGCCGCTACCAGGTGTATTCCTCGTATCAAACCGCAGAATTAGGCCTCCCTCTAGACTTCCAAGACTACAAAAGACGTCGAAACGAATTTGAAAAGATCAAAAAATGATATCGATTCCAAGAAAACCCTTTAAATCGATAGTAATAAAAGAAATCTTGAACACGAGAACCAAAGTGGAATAATTCAATCTGATTGTGAATTAGCAATTTCATTCTAATTCGAGACCAATCAAATGGTCCTAGCCTAGTTAGGAAGGATGAAATCGCTGACTTATAAAGTCATCGGAAGTCGAGCGACGTCATCGCATAAACCAAATACGAATCAAAATGTGCCTAAACTTCCGCCAAATATCTAATGCTAGCTCTCGCAAAGAAAAAAGAAAGCCTTGAAGGAGGACAAAAAATGATTTATCAGCAAGAACAAAACGAAAAAGCTCCCTTAATTTTCAAAACTTTTAGAATACCATAAATCGTTCTGAGGAATTGTGACTATCATGTCAACACTATGAAAGCTGGTGCATGGTAAGATGGGGGTCCTTCATGAGAAGTTCCAGGGGCAAATGTCGAATATCCCAGGTCAAACGAGCCCCATCCCTCCAAGTCGGTCCATTGGTACCATACTGGCCGGGAAACCTGTACATTGGCGAGTTCCCGCAAGTCAGGCCACGTATATGTCATAGCCCATTCCAAAATGCCACTAGGATTCTAAAAGTTGTCACTGATCAACGCCAAAAGCTTCATCCTTTCAAACTAATGCTAAGGCCGTGCAAATAACTCAGACTATGCTTAATAGCCAGCCATAGAAGTGCAAGCCGAGCTCTCAAGGAGACTGGCTGCTTTCTGAAACCATCCCAAGTGCAATTCAAAGAAAGCAGCCCCTAAAATCGCTCCCCCCCCCAGGCAGGTTAAGCAGCACACAAACACTAGAACAACAGCCCCAGGCTTTTCTCAAAAAAGTGTAGTAAATCAAAAAGCTGTGGCACCAAAGTAAAAGTAGAAGTAAAAGTGAAAGTGTAGAAACCGACATGGTGAAAGCCGAATTTCAATCGCTTGGGCTTTCGATCGTCCTTCAGCCGTAGCGGAAGTTGAATGATAGGCAAAGTTAATTCCTGAATTCCACTTCTTCCCATACAAGGACGCACCGCGTGGGACCGTACCCATTCTATTTTCGAAAAATGTGTCTTAGTGATAGAATCCACCTATGGTAAAGTGTTGCATCTCAATGCAGAAACTGTTGAGACTTTGCACGTCTCAAATCTTTGTCCACCGTCCTAAAGCAAGCGTGAAACTTTTAGTTTGGCCTAGAGAGGATTCTGAAGCAAGCGAAGAATACTTCGCTTCTTCTCCCAAAACCAGCGAATGAGATTGTATCCAGATTCTTAGGTGAAAAGTTGCACCAGTTCCTCAGCTGACTGCAAGCGAAAAATCAGCTGAAACACCGATAAAGAAAGATACACAAGGACTACGTTCACCAAATACTAAAGTGCCTCCCTGATTTACATGTTACCGTAAAAAATTCGAAACCTGCACAGAAGTTTTTCTGTACTGCATCCACACGTCGAGCTGAGCTATTTCATTTTTCACATTTCTCTCGTTATGAACCCATGATGGAGAAACGATGACAGTTCTCTAGTGAGTCCCGACGAGCTGATGGCAGCCGGAAAGACGGATAGCCGTGGTCACTTCGAAATCAGTGGACATGCAGAAGAATTCACATCGATAGAACCAAAATTCAACATCTACCACGACTGTGACGACGGTATCAAGGTAAGCGGCTTAGAACCAATTTCCTTCCACTGCCTCATAGTCACTAATT